TTTAAGGATTCCCGAGCTACTGTAAGATCCTTGGGAGTGTCTGTGCTGTCCACGCAAAGACGCCACTATGGGGTGCAGCAGTAGTATTGCCCACAGCATTCCTTTGTGCAGTCTTTCACCCTGGAACAACGGCAATACCCTAGAAAGAGGGGATCGATCCCAAAAGAGGATGCAGTCAGGCTCAGGCTTCGGGCACTCCATGCTCCCTCCCCCGGCGCTGGCTGAGTACCCATTTTGACTCTTGAGTCCAGAGCACTGGTCCAGTCATTACCCCATCCTCTCTGTTCCTCCATCCCTTTGGGGACAGGCTGGCCCACTTTTACAGTGCTTGGGACTCGATTACTTCTGATAGCTGGGTCCTAGACACTGTCAGATCTGGCTACATAATCCAGTTCCTCTCCACAGCCCCTTTCCACACCCCTCCCCATCCTTCTTCAGGGACCCCTCTCACAAAACACTCTCAGTGAGCAAGTCAGCTCTCTGACGTTGGGAGCGGTGGAGGAAGTTCTGCCAGAACACTCTGGCCACAGATTTTACTCCTGGTGCTTCCTGATACTGAAATCCAGCGGGGGGATGAGACCCATTCTCGACCTTCGCAGCCTCAGCAAATCCATCAAGTATGTGAGATTCCGCATGATCACTCTATCAGCGATCTTCCCCGCACAATTTCAGAATGACTGGTTTGCTGCTCTGGACCTACTTTCATGTGGCAATTCTCCTGAGCCATAGAAAGTTTTTGTTTTGTGGTAGGAGAATGCCACTTTCAGTATACAGTTCTCCTGTTGAGCTCCCACTCAAAAAATTGAGTTCATTGAAGCCCTGTTAGATTCCATGAGGTCGAGGTGTTCCTGCCGACCGACCGCTTCCAGGCAATGCAACAGCTCTTCCTCAGTCTGCAATCTCAGCCCGCCACGACAGTCGCCATGTGTCTGAGCCTATTGGGTCGCATGTCCACTTGCACGCAAGTGGTCCAGTTCTGAAGAGGGAGAAGGCGCAAACTGGCGATGTGGTTCAGGACAGTCTACCACCCTGCCCTGCATTCTCTACACAGTTTGGTTCACCTGCATCCACCAGTCCTAGATTCTTTGCCTTGGTGAGAGTCCCCACACAATGTGTGCCAAGGAGTCCCCTTCACTTAGCCCTCTCCAACTGACACTTCCCTTCTGGGTGGGTGGGGGGCGCATCTGGACTCGTTGAGGTTGCAGAGCCTTTGTCAGAACAGGAAGCCTCGCTCCATATCAACGTGTTGGAAATTTGGGCCATCCACAATGTATGTTGTGCCTTCGGGGACCGCATAAGACACTCAGTGGTTCGCATGTTACCACTATGATGTACTATGTGAGCAGACAGGGGGGAGCACATTCCAGGTTACTCTGTGTGGAGGTGATCAATCTGTGGCAATTTTGCATCGAAGAAGACATCACTCCAGTAGCAGTCCACTTGCCAGGGGTGCAAAATCATCTCACAGGCCATCTCAGCAGGGTCTTCTCCCTGAACCACAAGTGATTTCTGAAGGAGCGTGTCCTCCAGGTCATCTTTGCAACATGGGGGTTTCTGGACCATCAACCTGTTTGCGACAAAGGAAAACAAAGGGCTGGTCTACACTACACAGTTAGGCCGATGTAAGTCATTTTTTTCCATGCCATGGTGACAAGATTTCGGAAAGGGTTTCTCCACTTTCATTCTCCGATCCGAAACTGGTGCCCCTGTGGACCTAAATATGGTTGTGGCTGCTCTCATGGGCCTGTCATTTGAGCCTTTTAAGTCCTGTCCACTCCCCCTCCTGTCTCAGAAAACTATGTCCCTGATAGCTATCACATGCGCAAGAAGGGTGCGAGAGTTGCAAGCCCTCATGGCCAAGCCAGCTTACACTCAATTCTCCAAGGACAAAGTGACACTTTGACTGCACCCAAAGTTTTTGTTCAAGGTGGCATCTCAGTTACACTGCCTGAATTTGCGACTTAGGGAAAAACCCAGGTCCTCTTTCCCCTTAGGAACAGCGTCTCCATAACTTGGATGTCAGGCGATGTCTGGCATTTTATCTAGACAGGACTTAAACCGTTTCGTGCTTTACCTTGCCTGTTTGTCTCCTATGCGGACTGCATGAAGGGGCAAGCGGTCTCTGCTCAGACCATCTCTAGATGGATAATATCTTGTATCAAGACTGCGTATGAAATAGTTTTGGCTATGCCTCCTCAGAGGATATGGGCTCACTCCATGAGGGCGCAAGCGATGTTGATAGCATTCCTCAATGATATTTCCATACCGGACATTTGGAGTCTGGCCACATATATGTTTACAGACCATTATGTTATTACTGCATAGTCCAGAGTGGACGCAGGCCTCAGAAGGGCGGTCCTGTGATCCTTATTCCAGCGGACTCCAAGCCCTGTCTCCAGATTTGGGGTACTGCTTGTGAGGCATCAAAGTGGTATACATGTCTGCATCTACTCAAAGAAGAAGAAATGGTTACTTACTGTCATTGTGGTTCTTTGAGAACTGATGCAGGCGTGTATTCCACAACCCACCCTCCATCCCCTCTGCATCAGACTTCTGGTGCAAAGGAACTGATGGGGGTTGGGGTGGCACTGCCTGATATAGCCAGGGGAAGAGCCACAGCCAAGAGGCGTGAGTGCCATCTCTCTATGGGTATTGCTAGACAAAATGTTCCAGCACGCTGGGCACACACACACTGAAGTGCAATACACATCTGGGACACTTAAGGAACCAGCTGAAGCAATCTCAAAACTGTCAGCAGTTACCTTTGAGAACTCATGGAGGATGGGTGATGTCTCAGACAGTTGGAGAAGGGTACATGAAGACCCTATCTTTAAAAAGGGGAATAAAAAGGACCTGGGGAATTCTAGACCAGACAGCCTAACTTTGATACCTGGAAAGATACTGGAACAAATTATAAGACCATCATTTTGTAAGCACTTAGATGAAAATAGGGTTATAAAGAAATAGCTGGTTTGGATTTGTCAAAGAACAAATCATGCCAAACCAGTTTAACTTCCTTCTTAGATAGGGTTACTGGCCTAGTGGCTGGGGAGAAAGCTGTTGAAGTGATATATCTTGATTTTAATAAGGCTTTTCATACACTTCTAAGTGACATTCTCATAAGGAAACTAGGGAAATAATGTCCATAAGGTGGGTATAAAACTGTTGAAAGATTGTACTCCATAGCTATCAATGGTTCACTGTCAAAATGGGGGGATATATCTAGTGGGGGTTTCACAGGAGTCTGTTCTGAGTTCAGTACTATTCAATATTTTCATTAATGGTTTAGATAATGGAGTGGAGAGTGTGCTTATAAAATTTACAGATGACACCAAGCTGGGAGGGATTGCTTGCAGTTGGAAGGGCATGATTGGAATTCAAAATGACATTGACAATGCCACAAGATGAAATTCAGTAAAGTGCAAAGTACTACAGTTAGGAAGAAAAAATCAGATGCACAAATACAACATGGGGAACAATGAAAAGGATCTGGGGGCTATAGAGGATGACAAATTGAATGAGCCAACAATGTGATGCAATTGCGACAAAGGGTTGTGTCATTCTGGGGTATATTAACAGGAGTATCATATGTAAGACACAGGAGGTAACTGTTCTACTCTACTTGATTCTGGTGAGGTCTCAGCTGGAGTATTGTGTCCAGTTCTGGAAGCCACACTTTAGGAAAGTTGTGGACAAATTGAAGAGAGTCCAGAGGACCGCAACAAAAATGATAAAAGGCTTAAAAAACTTGCCCAGTTTTTTTTTTTTTTTAAATAATCTTTCCTCATAGGTCATGTTTAGTCTTGAAAAAAGAAGACTGAGGGAGGACCTGATAAATCTTCAGATATATTAAGGACTGTTATAAAGAGGACAATGATCAATTCTCTGTCCACTGAAGAATGGACAAGAAATAGTCGACTTAATCTGCAGCAAGGGAGATTTAGGTTAGATATTATGGAAAACTTTGTAACTATAAGGATAGTTAAGCACTGGAATAGGCTTCCAAGGGAGGTTATGGAATCCCCGTTCTTGGAAGCGTCTGAGGGTATGTCTTTACTACCCACTGGATCTGCGGGCAGTGATCGATCCAGCGGGGATCGATTTATCGCATCTAGTCTAGTCTAGACGCGATAAATCGACCCCTGAGTGCTCTCCTATCGACTCCTATACTCCAGCGCCGCGAGAGGTGCAGGCAGAGTCGATAGGGGAGCGGCAACAGTCGCCTCACTGCGGTGAAGACACCACTGTAAGTCGATCTAAGTACATCGATTTCAACTATGTTATTCACGTAGCTGAAGTTGTGTAACTTAGACCGATTCTTCCCCCTCCCCCCCAAGTGTAGACCAGGGCTAAGAATACGGTGATCTTGGTGCCATCTGAGAAACCCTAGTTCCCATTGGCTTTGGAGTTGTGGGTTCTGTGCACCGCTTAAAAACCAGACCCGAGGGGTATCAAGTTAAAAGCCAAAAATCCGTGACTAATTTTGAAAATGGATTCCTTCGAGATTTTTGCAGGTCACAAAGTGATTCAGTGGGAGAACTAAGAATAGAACCCCTTTCCCAGTTCTGTGCCCAAATGGGATGGATTTAAACGACAAGAAATGAAGCTCACAAATTCTGTTTTTGCCAGGTCAGAAATTTGTTTGAGGTTCTCAAACCTCCATCTTCACAATGTTTGCCCAGTTCTACTTTAAATATGATATGATAGCATATGCAATGCAGACTTTGGGGGGAGGACTGCTTGAGAGATCAACATATCTTGGTCAGGAGGCTCCGGGTTGGGTGAGGGAATGGCTGGATGAAGGGTCTCTCTTTTGGTGAGGAGAATGGAATGTGGGGACCTTTAGTCTCTGGACAAGATGGTTATTAAGGCTGATGGTGGCCTCTGGCACGTTGCATAACCTGTGGACTGTTTTGCCATTCCTGCTACATGCAGCCTTTGTATAGTCGTGCCTGAGCTGGCTGATGGACTCACTAATAAATACATTCTGTTCATCCCAGGATGTATAAATACACTTCAAACCGCTTCAAGACCCGTGCGGAGCAGGAGGTGAAGAAAGCGGAGCACATGGCTCGGATAGGTGGGTGCTGGGTGTGTGCATGGGTGTCCTGCATTAGTGCAGGAATGGTGAAGCCAGGCTTGCCCCTCTGACTTGCCCTGTAATGGCAACCATTGTCGTGAACACCATGATTGCTCAGGTGCCCTGCCTGTACATGTATGATGGTCAGATGGATAAGCCTAGCCTTTTCCCTCTGTTGCACAGAACTAGCTTCTCAGATGATTCCTTCTGTGAGCATTCTATATGGAGCTCAGATCCAGAAAAGAACACTTTCCTTAAGCACACAAACATTCTCCTCTTTCTGACCCTAATTGTCTAACCTGTGCATGTATTATCCCAAGGGACCATTATCCCCAACTCCCCCCACAGAAATCATTACCTTAGTTTTCCTTACTTGCTTCTCCTTTCCCTGGAGCTGATTACTTTGTTCCCTCCTGGGAAGTTTGTCTCCATACAGGGATAAATGTGCCCCCATATCTGGCAGAGATTGGGAGTGGGGCAGGGGGGCTCTGACAATCGGTCACTAAGTCTGAGTGAGGAGAAAATGGAGGTGGTGGTGAATCAATCATGTTTCCACTGGAACTTTAGTTTTTTTTTCATCTTTCTCTTTCATTTTCTCTGGCACCATCTTTTGTTTTCTCTCCCTTTTCTTGAATTACCAAACATTTGTGTATGTCTTTCCTCTCCTCCATTACTCCTTTTGGAGCCAAGTAGCAGCTTCCTCCTTGTTTCCCCTATTCTGCTGCTCTCTTCTTTCAGTGCCCTGGAACCTCTTGTTTCTGTTATTCCTTCACGTCCCCCACCTTAAAGGAGCAGTCACTCGCAAGGAGATTTCTTTTTATTGTTTCAGCTAGTCTGGTTCTAGAAATTACTCTGGAAGTGTCTGCAGAGGGGTCCCCTTCTCACTTTACAGAGTGGGACACTCATCTTGGTTCTCCCCACCTTGTCATTCTATACCCTCTTCGTCCTCCTTCACGGAGAGCAAAACCAAATCTATTAACAAGAATAAAGATTTCTTGCTCCTCTCTGTGAAGAAGGTGAAATGTCCAGTGGAGGAATCTGCATTTGAATCTGACAGTACAGGATGACCTTAGGTTTGGTCAGTTGAACAAATTCATAATGCTATGTTGAGAAGCATTTACCTCCCCTCTCTATATGTATGCAAAGATACCTTTGAAAACTAACGGAAATGAATAAAGTGAGTTCTTCAGGTATGTGTCAGTGTGGATCCTACTGGCAGTGCCCACGTTCGTGAGACTGGAGGGTTTTTTGATTAGCAGTGTCCATCAGAGCTGTGTATGTGCCCTGTACCACCTTATGCTCCCATGGAAGGGACTCATCCTCAGTTCCCTCTTACCACCTGTGGCAGCAGGTCTTAATCTGGTGCGTGTCCAACCCGATGATTCCTAGTTTGGCTGAATTGTCTCAAAAATCTTCTACAGAACTCTTCTGATTCTTTGAAACTACCACTGTGATCTATGTTGGCTCATCTAGACTGAGTAGTGATGGTTAGACCCTCTCATACAGTGCCTCTTAACATGGTGGTCTTGAAATCTGCAGGCTTCAAGCCCTATCCAATCCGTGATGGACTCATACCTCTGAAAGATGGATATAGTAGATGTCTCTTATACAGATGTGTAGGAGAGTCTCATATACAGATATGTTTGGTGTGCTTATCATTCTCTGCAAGGACCTGTGAGATGCAAGGTTGAAGCGCCTTCTCTTGTACCAATCCATGAAAGTCTTTTCAGACCCAGAGGAGAAGAGCTCCAAAGTCTTGGTAGTGAACAAACCAGCCTCATCCAGTCCCTATCCAGCGGTCATCCCCTCTCTGTTAGCATATCCAAAATCTGATGGCTTCCTATCATAAACACAGGGTAGCCACATTGGCTGTGCATATTCCAGGGATCAGAAGTGACCTAGCAGACTTCTGCTGCAGCCACTCATGGCTGGTTACTGCAAGTCTGCTCAAGAAGTCAGGCCTAGAGCTGGTATTCCATCAGTGGGGACTCCCATAATAGACCTGTTTGCCACAGAGGAAAACACCAAATGCTCATACTTCTGCTCCAGGAGGGGTCTGAGCCCTGGGTCTTTACCAGATACCTTTCTCCTTGGTTGATCTCAAGGACTGATCCTTCTCTACTGCATCCCTTGATCCCCACAGATGAGACTGGATAAGGCTATGAACTTCTGTTACCCAATAACCTCTTACTGGCTGAGACAGTTTGGCTGACTGACAAGACTATTGCAGATGTCCAGGCAGCTTCACGTACACCTCCCATTCTGCCCAGACATAATGTCTCAGAAGCAAGGTCAGATCTGCAGTCATTGCACCTGATGCCTTGAATGTTGGCTGGTTGAGCACTACTGACAGACTGCTCTCTGCAGGTTCAGGAAATTCTCAGGCTAAGCATAAAACCTTTTGCTAGACAGACCTACTCGTCAAAATGTGTGGGTGGGAGGGAAATGTCCTTATAGGCAGCCCAACACAATCTGGACCCAGTAGTGTTAGCCCAAAACAGTTTAACTATTGTCTACGCAGATCAGAAGATTGGGCTGTCTGCAAATCCCACCCCCTCCCACATCTATTATCGGGTGATTTATTAAGACAGAGGCAGAATAAGATGCAACACACACACGTTTATTATGTCACTAGTCAGTAAACTAAACAAGGACCCCTTCAGACAATAAACAACATAAGCAAGACACACTCGGTTGTTAACAGTTACCAGAGCGTGAAGCTCAGAGCCCTTAACCCCCCTTAACCTATGGATGTAAAAGAGAGGAAAACCGCAGTGGGTATTACAATACCATATCCTGAAAACAGGGACACAATGACAAACACTCAGGCTACCGACAGGGATAGCGGTGAAAATCGGGGCGCTGGACACCAAACAGGAACTTGGGAACTGGGTATTCTTCTCCCTCTGGACAGGTCCTCTGGGCAGAACTTCTCCCTCAGATAAGTCTTCAGTGCTTGTCCATGCAGTCTCTGCTTGACCTCGTAGTCCAGTGCAAGTATGCGCTCACTAATGGTCTGTAGCAGTTGAGTGCAAGTATGTTAATAGAAACCAAGAATCCAAACTCCTATGAGTCCTGGTCCCTCGGGGGCTCCTGGCAGCTAGCTGAACTGTGTGGGACTCTGGCTGCCACTCAGATGGACAGCCTTGAGTGATAGGTGTGTCACTCACTAAATAACTTGCAGTTGCTAGGCAGATTATGGCTGTCACATGACTAACTGCCCTGACCTTTCCCCTCCTTGATTTGAAAAAGGCCGAAAGGGCACTAAATCATCTGAGGAGAGGGGTATCCAAGATGGAGGCTTAGCTGTCCTTTTACAAATCCGAGATGGACATTACATAAAACAGGTAATAAACAGATTTTACCCAACAGTAGAGGTTCTCATATTGAAAATGCTTGACTACAAACTGCACATGAAATATCCTGGGCTGGCATTTAACTCTCTCATGGTTCACCTTGCAGTAGGGTGACCAGACTGCAAGTGTGAAAAATCAGGACAGGGGGTGGGGGGTAATAGGAGCCTATATAAGAAAAAGACCAAAAAATCAGGACTGTCCCTATAAAATCGGGACATCTGGTCACCTTACCTTGCAGCAATATTGGTGTGTGTCACTCCAGTGGAGCCGTACTATTTTCACATCCGACAGTAACAAAATACCTTAAGAGCCTCCTTCATATCTCCCTTCAGTTAGAGAGCCAATTCCCATGTGGGTCCTCAACATTGTCTTCCTAAAATTCACAGAGCCTCATAGGCAAGGGTTTTTTTGGACCTGCTGCCTCTGCCTGCCCTTGGGCTGCCCTCTGCAGCCCCAGTACCCTTCTTTGGCCTTTAACAAGGCCTGCAGCCTGGGGGATTTCTAGGCCGGAGCTCCCCAGCTCCTCGGGCCTTCCCCCAGCCCTGCCCCACAGTACCTTTTTCTAGCCTTTAACAAGGCCTTGCAGCCTGGGGGATTTCTAGTAGGGTTACCATACGTCCAGTTTTTCCCGGACATGTCCGGCTTTTTGGTAATCAAACCCCCGTCCGGGGGGAATTTCCAAAAAGCCGAACGTGTCTGGGAAAAATACTCCCAGCTTCCGGCATCCCTGGCTTACCTTAGAGCGGGCTTCGGCGGCTGCTGTGCTCCCTGACTCCTCAGCTCTGTAAGAGCTGAGCTGCCCGAGCGCTACTGGCCTCGGGCAGCTGTTTCACGTGGCTGGGAGGGAGGAGGGGGAATGCGGGCGCTCAGGGGAGGGGGCGGAGTTGGGGGG